CCATTATGCATCCTCTGAAGCTGAGGTGCTGAATTAAACGGCTCCTTGATCCAACTTGGTAGAGCTATTCTTATATAGCATTTTTGTCATCACTTCAAGATATGATTTTATATTTGATTTGGATTCTTCTACCAATGTGTTTACGGAGAGAAAAAAAATGTATTTACGTATTACATATTGAGATGACAGTTTTACGCAGAAAGTGCACTTAATCCAACCCCTTTTCCATACAATAACAGGAAGTCTGGTATGGAGAGCCTTGAACAAAATACTTAAGCTTTCTATAATTAATTTTGTGGCCACTCTGAGAATACTCAGCTTCTAATCTCCCCCCAAACCACTATACTCTTGATGCTGTATCCTTTTTGGTGCTTCTTAACCTACAAGTAGTTCTTTAAGATACTTTTCCAGTGAGGCATTAAGAACAAACAATTTAAAGTTCCGAAGTAACAACTACTGCTGCACATTGTGAGCTGCTTAGCACAAACAAGTTTTCAAGGGATAGCTGAACACAATCCTTTACTAACGGCTAACAAAAAACAGTAGCTCAGGAACCCTTCCAAAAAGGATAAGAAGTTATCTCTCTTGTTCCTGAAGGTATCACCCAGAAGAGATTTTTCGGGTTACTCCTACTACTTCGGGATTCTGATGACATCAGCCAGACAGCCTGTGTTATCACTCGCCTGAAGACAGGATCTGATACCTCAAGAACAGCCTATTAAAAAAGAAAAAGTAATTGAGTTCATTTTACCCTACAGCTACAGATCCTGACTTCGTGGTAGTTTAGCTGTACATTTTATGACAAGTTCAGTAATCATACTTGACCAGAAATTTCTAATAACTAATGATGAAAAACAATCAAGTAAGTCCTCCTTCTGAAAAGGACACATTTATTTGACTTTATTGTTTCTTTTTACTTTTTTTGAAATTAGAACAAAGTAAGTCACCTCAGGATCTGGTTAAGAGGATAATCAAACATTTGTTGAGCACAGCTCTCCAATCTTACAGAGGGAACTTGTTGATTTCTGCTCATCTCTACTGATTAGATGCCAGCATCAGAGCAACATCACCACCTTCAGTGGTCCCCACTTTCCTGTATTTAGTTAGCACAGAAGCATAAAAAGCAGAAGATAATCCTCAGACTGCTTCTATTCTACCCTTACTGGGTTTCTAAATCTTTGCCATTCACTGGGAAAAGCGTTATAACATTATGTAGATATCAGATATAATGGAGTTGGCCGCAACAGTTTTTCTCTGTGAAGATGAAATGGCAACATAAACACATGACAAGGACTAGTGGAATTTCTCCAGTAACTTGCAGTTGCCCCCCATGTAGCTGCTGCAAAGTCATTATGGACTGTACTGAGCAGAAAGAGTAACAAACTGCCAAGTTTCTGGTATAATACTAAAAGAGGGCTACAAGAAAACCGGATAGGAAGCTATGTGGAAGGTATAGCTTTTGGATCATGTACATCTTATACAGCTGGAATCCCTAAACTAGCAAGTATAGCAGTGTGTGGACTTCCAGGTTTGTTCTGGATGCAGTGTTGCTGCTTTTCTGAGCTACTGCACCCGTGGTAGGAAGTCATTCCAGTAAGCCATGCCAAAAGGGCAAACTGCCACTTGTAGGCCCAAACCGGCTTATGCAGAACAAGCTCAAATGTGCCAGTACCACATTCTGAGCTGTTCTTAGGGTTAGAGAGCACAAACCTACTTTGGGACCACCAGCATGAGAGCTGCAGATATATGTGCTCTCTCTGTTTTCCTGTACAGAAACTCTAGATTGCTCTAGGGATCAGACTTGGATTACTTCATATTCGTATATGAAGTAAACCTCTGCCATTCTTCTCCAAACAGGATTGTTTCACTTCTAAGAAAAGCACTGAGTGCGAAAAATCTAGGAAAGTCCTCATTCCTAATTGGTAGCGTTGCAAGAACTGATGAAAACAATGACTCAAAAAGCAGCCACCACAAAATCTAGTACTGAAGCATACTGCCACTCTCATGAGCAGCACTATCAAGTGGGCAACTATTGGAGTCCATGGGTTTGGCGTCGATTCAAACATCTAACGTGGTACCTACCACTAATAACACAGAACATTTGGAGGTGGTGTCAGACCACTATCAGTGTGGTGCCTTGGCATAAAAGTTGCTAAACCAGGCCTTATCAGAAAAGGCCTGGATTTTAAAGTAAACTCCTCAGGTGGAGAGATACCAGGGGTGGGGGGAAGAAGGACGAAAGGCAGGAGGGGAGGGAGGAAAGAGCCACGGCCTGTTCCGCTTCCTCTCCTTTACCTTGGGAAAGTGAAAGCAGTACAGCTGCTTCTTGGAAGCCTGGAAAAGGTGGTGGTTATCAACAGAAATCTAACTCACGTCAGAGCTGGGCAGATCACGTTTATTCCCAATTGAAAACTGACGTGCAGATAAAGTTTTAAACAGCCTCCCTTTATGTTAACAAAAAATGCCCAAACAACAAGAAAACCCAACAACAGAGCACTGGAACATTTGTTAAACGATATGCCTCTCACCTCAGCAAGATAGTAATCTGCTATGTCCATCAAACAGAGATATAATTACCTTACACAAAAGGCAGTATTTGAACCATGGCGATTTTTGCTAAATCAAAAGAATAAGAGCTCGGACAACAAGAAATTGAGAGAGAAACCAGCCCAGAAATAAAACCAGACAAACAGGTTCTACATTAACTTGTAACCTACAATAAACAGGTATCTAAGTGCAAAATTAATCCGCTTTTACTCCAAGGATATTTCTCTAACTTCCACTTTGCAGCCACAATCAGCTACATAAAACCACAGTATGATGAACTAACATCAAGGCTTTTGATGTTGGCGATGAAATAACAGCTAGAGCAGGGGCCTGAAACCAAAGAACACTGCTATTATGATATTACAGTTATGATCACAGAGAACACATGATATCACTAGTCTACATGTGGACAAACATTTGAAAAATCTCCTTCAGCATGTTCCCTACTCTTATTTTTTCTTCCTTTATTTTAAACCTGCACAGTTGCAAACCCTCCCTGTAAGAAAAAGAAAAGCCCCGGACTTTTTACAATCAAGGAGTTATATCATAAAACAACATCTTGTGAGCTTCAAATGCTTTTCCTTTTGCCCTTTTAAAGTGCACTATGCAAGAAGCATGACCCGCTGTTTCAAGTGCTTTGAAAAGAACAGGGTTAGAATATTGCAAAGTCTGAGATCAAGCAGGTGGTTGTCCCGATCTGGTAGTCTGGTAGCTCACTGGTTTGGCACAGGAGCAAATAACCCTGTCACTCTCCAGCCATCAAGTCTCAAGCACTCTGGGAAATAGTGTTGATATGGTTTTCTCCTGACCATTTCTGGCCAAAAGACAAATCACAGAAGCCAGACCAACCTTTCTTTTAATCTTAAATAAAAAAGAAAAATTAAAGGCCACCCTTAATCAACTGATGTTGAAAGGCCTCTGAATAAACTGTGTAGATGGGCATATTAAATATTGCCTCCTCTTTAAAAGAAAAAAAAAAAAAAAGTGCCACACAAATATGCTAGAGTTGTTGATGCTAATAAATATACCACCTTTTAGTCCAATTTATCCTCATTAACAATGAACAGGACAAAGTAGTACTCCAACTATTGACTGTGCCCATACTTTTTACCTCTGAGCAGTGATTCAGAAAAGTCTGAACCAATTAGTGTTAAAACATTCTCCTTAATGAAATAAAAGCAAACAAACTTTTTAGTAAAATTCCTGAAAATAACAATATTGATCATTCTAGGATGAATAATATATTCAAATAATAAATAAATGATAAATATTTCTGCTACTTAGAAGAACGTTTACACAGTTCTGTAAACTCATTTATTAATTTTAATGAGAATAAGGGTAAATAAAATCAGTAATACAGTAGCTATGTGTGTGGTTCTTCTCTGCACGTGCGGCCTTGGGAGAAAGTAAGAATCAACATTAACTAGTAAACCTGCAGTTGACAGAAAACTCTGTCAAAATGCCAATGCACATTTTTCATTTAAGGTGTGTAAAAGCAGGACCTGTTCACTAGGAAAAGCATTCATTAACGTTTACCATTGTTACACAACACTATTCTGAACTACTCATTGAGATACTTAATATACATAGAAGTATCCCTGCTATGTAGGTTTCTTCCTCTTGAGATAAAATGATTGCAAACCACATTCCTTTAAACGGAGTCTAGCAACAAAAACTAAATAAAGGGGGAAGGGGCTCCCAGCAGCATTCTTATTCGCAACTTGGTAAAGCAAATTAAAAAAAGTGAAATTTCTATTTCTGCCCATGTTTAAAAGAAGCAAAAAAACAGATGAGCTTGACCACAAAAAAGTTAATGACATTTAATACAAGTATCTAGACCTTTTCAATGAATACAATTCACTAGGTTATAGCAAGCAAAACCAGGTCTTTTCAGACGACAAATAAGGGTAGGGACTACATTCCAACTGCCAAAATTTGAAGGTAAAGACCCTAGCTTATCAGCCAACTGACAGCTGAGTACATTTTTCTTTAATTCAGAACCAGGAATATAGAAATAGTTCTTTTTTTCTGAAACATCTGGTTATTAGGAAGCCAAAATACCTCATGCTCCAACAATTAAAGGCCATCTCTAAATTTAGAGGCCTCCCCACCTCCCTTGCCCAGGTGCACATCCTGGCTTGGTCTTGGCTGCATGTCTGGATGAAGCTTCTGTTTCATACATCCCATACTACCACATGCCCTGATTTGCTCTGGAGACTTATTTTACTTATATGGAAACAGAATTTATGGGGTACTCCTAGCCTAGGCAAGAAACACAGACCAGAACTAGAGTGCATCTGTCCTTCGTTGAGACAAAGAGAGAGTATCATAGAAAGTGACCTGTTTGTGGGAAGCACCTACTGAAATACCTGAAATGAAGATTAGCATATGAACAAATGAAATCTCAGTATTAACAAACCTAACAGAAGAAAAAATGTAAAAAAAGGTACTACCTTCTTTTCAGTGGGGCTTGAAGTCTTTGATACTAACGCTGCTTCAACAAGACCCTGCTCAAGTAAGGAGTCATATTTTATGCTTCTTTTTCTGTTTCTCCTCTCCTTGTTTGCTGGCTTTTGTTCATTTTCCTCTGACTGAGACACATCTGCACCATTGTCTCCACAAATGGAAGATTCAAAAAGAGGCTTTCCATTCATGTAGGTTTTAGTGATTTTCAGCTTAATTTCTGGAGAGCCATTCTTGATAGGAGTGGTGTTGGGTGGTGTTCCAACTCCCTTTATTTCCTGGGGTTCAAAGCGCAGCTTGGCATCTTGGGCCCCAGACTCGCCATTAAACACACGAGAGGTTAGATCTTTCAATTTATCAGCTGGAATAAATGGAAGAGCCTCATGGCCATTGTATTTTTGCATGACACCTTCTTGTAGAGTGGCAGAAAGTTGTGCTTTGCCCAAGTAGACAGAACACTCACGATTCACTTCACAATTCTGAGTTTTCCCATTGGTATTTCCAAGGATCTCTGGTACCTGCTTCATTTTGATGTAGTTAATTTTTCGAGTTAACAGTTGAGAACTTCTTTTGATGCTAAAGTCCATTCAGCCCAGATGTTTCCAGTCTTACACTGCTACATTAAGACAAAAAGACAGAGAATATTTTTAATAATACAGAAATGTTAAAAGATACCAAGTATTCAGATAGATATGTCCCCACTAATATAACACTCAATGTACTTCATTCAAGTTTTACTAGAAGTGTTGCTTACAATCTTCATAACCAAAATACTTCAACATCTGTTAATATGCGTTATGAAAAAGTCCATGAAAAATAGATTGATGAATCATCAATTTTATTAAAACAAAAGCAGAGAGCAAAATCACAGTTTTCATTTCAATAATCTGTTAACAAATCTACAGCATGAGTCTTACCCACGCTAATTACTCAAAGGTATTGCACTGTTTAAAACAAGGAAGAGTTAGACCTAAGATAATATCATTAATAACAACTTAAAACAGATGAGTTTATTTCTAAGAGGTCGTGCCAGCATAAAAACCCCACAGGCTGTGTTACTGTAGCACCTACACCATGGACAGCAGCATCACAAGCACACTTCCTGAGGAAACAACACAGCTCAGTCTTCAGACGTATCCCAAAGCGTTCTGGCTATGAGAACGAATAAAAGGCAAGCGTTACGTGTCATGAACACCAGCCCACTGGGAAACAGCTGATCCTTTAGGCCAGTGGCCACACTGTGCAAAATTTAAATGGTCAAAGCAACTGCTGCTTTTTAATAACAGCAGCATCATCATCATCTAACACCCACTTTTCATACAGAAATTTGAAAACATCCAACAAGCTAAAACTGCACTATTATCTGCCCTAGACAGGTTTTCCAAGGGTTCTAAAAGCTAACCCTTCCTATTTCAACATTATACTATCGTAGCAAACGAATGAATCTGGCAGAATGACTCCTTTGTGCTCCTAGACCAGGCAAGACGATAATTTTCATTTTTAAAATTCATATGCGTAGACTCTTCATATTACCAGGTCCAGTGTATACATGATATAGAGAAATACACCATCATAAATATTATGAAAGCTCAGCACAATAATCATCATATCCATGCTGAAGCTAACCAATTTCATATGATTAAGTCCAAGAACTGTTACATCAAATCAAAAATTCATCAAATTTAGTCTCACATGCTTCCAAAAAAGTGCAGTGAAAACCCATGATGAATAACTACTGAATTGTCAGTTGCTATGGAGGAAATCCCTTCTGAATCTCACCACCTTGTTTATTAATGTACACAGTTATAATGCTTACAACTGGCATATTCCTGAAACTTGCGTATTTGCTACCTCCACATCAAGAGTAGCAATGTACAAATGCTTATAACTGAGCACTACCCTAGCCTGGCAAAGCTTCTTAAGGGTGTCAAGCCTGAACTCAAAGCAATTGGCCAACATGAAACCTTTTCATGCACAAAGATGCAGGAAAAAAAAAAAAAAATCTAAAAATCGTAACTCCATCACTCCTTAGCAAATGCTCCCATCTCCCTAACATGCTGCTCTAAGGTACCTACAAGATAAAAGGGTATCTTTCCACACAAACTACATAGACTTATTTGAGAGATGAAACCATTCTCCAGGGACAAACAGCAGCCTGAAAAGCTGGCATTAAACAAGATAAGAAGTATACCTGAACTCCAAGTGAATTTGCAACAAGAAAGGTTCTAATCTTTCTTTAGCCAGATGAAGTCTGAATTACCAGTAAAATCTCTGATAAAATGGGTGGAAACCAGCCAACTGTATTAACCCTTTTGAAGAGGAGTCAGAGGTAAAAGGAAACTCAAAACTCAACCAGAACAGAACAAAGAACTCACTAAACCGAAAGAGAAGTCATGTACTTTCACAAGATCTTCTCTGAAAACATGGACATGAGACAGACTCCCAATCCAATTAATAATATGACAATGTTTCAAGCTGTGATTCAGCAGATTTAACTGAAATCATATTTATTTTAAGAAACAACTGATGACAAATTCTACAAATCTCTAGGCAAAAGGCAAACCCGTTACAGAACATGTGACGCTTATGGTTACGGAGATGACAGCAAAATTCCTTAAAAAACCCCAAAACACTGAATGGTTGCAAAATGTGTACTTCCTTCCCACAGATTCTTAACAGAGTAAACCAGAATGCAAAACAGAGATTTGATTTGGGCATCTAAATTCCCCTCTATCTAAAAAATAAGCCTACAAGTGAGCAGCTTTGCTGTGGCTGCAGACGCCCTCCAGTGGTTGCCTGAACCAGCCAGAGCAGCCAACACCGCCGCTCCCCACTTCCCTGCCTGACAGACTGCTGCTAATCACAGCTTCTCACAAGAGGACCAGCACCAAAAATGCCTTGTGTGACTTCCTCCTGTCCATCAACTACACAGTTAAGTTGAAAACCATTTTTTAATATGGCTCCATTAGCTGCTTACCAGGGTCTGGATTTCTGGATCGAGACATCTGCATTTTGTAACTCTGTCTGTTTTAATCCATAATTCTACTAGTATTTTTTTTCCTGCTTAATAATAACTCTTACTCTCATCACTTACTACTTTAAGCTAGAAAGCTATCAAGTTTGAGGCAGACCAGGACAACTCACAAAAAAGCAACAAATAATCAAATTAGACTACATTACTGGTGTACTCAATCTCAAAACACAGGATGCTTTACAAAACAGCGATAGCTTAAAAGTTTCAGAACATAAAAATCATCACAGAATAACTTAGGCTGGAAGTGACTTCCTGAGATCATCTATTCCAACCCCCTGCTTAAATCAGGGCCAACACAGATCAAGCTGCTCAGGGCCTTGTCTGGACAATGACCAGTAAATAACTAAGTGAAAAGACACGGCTTAAAGTTACTCTCTTTCTAGCTAATAAACCTAAGGGTAGTAATTCCATATCACAAAAATATGAAGACCAATAAGTCCATGCAGCGAAAGACCCTGAATTTTTTGGGGCTACCTTGACTTGCCTAATACATCTGAAGATACACGGCATGCAGATTTTAGAACTTCAGTGAGTGAAGGTTCAGTTAATGATTCTCACCAATACAGGCCACTAAAAACAGCTGAAAGCACTGAAAAAGGCCCCTCAAATCGCTAGAGCCTAGTGAGACAGCAAATCCAGGAATATAACTAGTAAAAGGAATGTACTCAGGCCAATAGTAAATGGCAAGATGAAGACAAAGGCAGTAATTTGAGACAGTAAGATTATCAGAACCAGTAGATACCATTATAGAATATGGAAAATAGACCATGTTTGTACAAAGATTTAATGGAGCCAAATGAGAAGAGGCTTAAAGAAGCAGAATAATGAGCAAAGGTAATAGATTTGAGTACCTATAAGCAAAGAGTCCCACTGGGGAGATGAGACTTGTACAGAGCACCTTGCAGGTTAATCACCATCTCTAGGACAACCAATGGAGGGAAACTGTCTATACGCATCTCAGCCCTCCTTGTAAAAAATAAGCTATGTTGTGGGTCCGGTTAAATGGAAGAAGCTAGCAAATCCACACATAGGAATTACAAAGGGTTTCAAGAAAGAAGGGCAAAATTGAAGCTAGTTAAATTTTGCACAACCTTTGCTATCTAAAATTCATGGTAACACAATACCATAAGCAAGAAAAAGGACGAGGCTCTTTGTGAGAAGAGGACAATAGAGCAGAAAAGAAGAAAAGGGGTGAGGAAAGAAAACGATCAGCAGCAGATAACACCAAGCAGTACTGTGAGCTTAGAATTAATGCAAGGAGATCTAGAAGACAGGACATGAAAGAATGAAGTGAGATAGATCACAGACAAGATCTGGTTGATCAGAATTGTAAGAGTAAGGTCCTGAAGCAGCTGAGCATGTGATTAGATTTGGTAGTTAAATTAAGTGCACTCATGCCGGACCACCATATCACATAGAAGCAAAGGCAATCCCTTATCTTTTTCTAGATGACTCTGTACCTATAGAAAAGGAAACTGGGGGGAGGGTAGAAGCCCCACATACTAGTAGCAGCTAATGAGCTTAAGCTAGTATCGTCTCATATTGACTGACTGGTGACCCTACAAGTACCATTTTCACTAACAAAGAGGAAAAAACATGATAGCCAAGGAGTCTGCTGAATAAACATGATATTTTGGCTTGTGAACAAATAGCTTTCAGTAAGCAAAAGAAGATTTGACTTATCAGAAAAAAGTCTCTAGATATTTTAATCGGACAATGACAATTGGACAATCCTTGCAATGGCTTTGTACACATTTTCAGACTAAAAAAACAGGTTCTACACAAGGCAAAGTATTTTGCAGACATTTTAAATAATGTTATTAATTACTTGAAGGTCCATCATCTGACAGGAGTCATGAGCCAAATACAGTTAGTTTGCATGTCAGATTCCTCCTTCACTGTCCAGGCCACTACCATTTTTGTGATATTTATTATTCATTTCTTCCACATCTGCTGCAATTTCAGAGATGCATTTCTTGTGTGTCAGAAATAATGGAGTAGTCCATTCCTTCCAATTCTGCCAAAGGGAGTGAACAGAGTAAGTAATCAACAACAAGCGTCATTATTAAATACCACTTTTGTTTTGTCTAAAGGTTTTCTTAAAGCCATTTCTCAGGCGAATTACTCGGGATGGGGGGGGAGGGGAAGGGGGAAGATGACACACCTAAATACAAATTCACAGTAAAGAACTTTATCCATGAAAGCTATTTTTATTACCTACAAATCAGGCTTTCAGCTGGCACTGAAAAAGCTAATAGATGGCTGCTGCTTTTTTCTGTAAAGATAGCTTTCTGATAAGTCTTCTCCATTCTCTCATCAATTTTAAGACCAAACGTTATTCCTATTTTCAGATCAGAGTGAGACAAAATACTTAAAGAGATTAGTAAAGTTACAACACATTCTTACTAATACATTTGAAAACTTGAGTACGCTTATTCACATTATCTTGTATAAAAAACCTAAAATATCAAATAGGAGTAGAGACATATTTACTATCATGCAGTACATTGTGACTGTTCTTCACTATATTAAAATAGTGAAAAATTACTACAGGATCTTAACAGAATTTCCTTTTAGAAGAAAA